TTTTTTAATTCATTTGTTATTTCCTCTGAGTTATATCTCTTCAATCTTTCAAATTTATATCCGGTTTTATCTCGTGGCAGGATTATTTTGAATAAAAAATGAGTGATCCCTTTAATAATAAAAAGATTCAAATTTATTTGAAAGAAAGATTTTCAATACTTGAAATAATCTTTTCTCAAAAGTGGAATAAGAAGTATAATTTATTTTTATTATTACCAATATTGTTTAAAACAAACACAGCAAGTAAAAAGTAAAATAATTTCACTCGAATGATATGTATAATCTTATACAATGGCCGTTTTATATTTCATTCATCGAAGAATTTACTTCTACAATTTATTGAAAAATTTTATCTTCGTTCAAGATATTCGATAAAAAAAAAAAAAAGGAGAACACGAAAATAAATATCAATATCAACTCGGCTCAAATATAATTCACGGATAATCAACGGCGAATTTCAATGAAATTCTGCATTTCAATGAAGTTCTTTTCTTCCATTCGATTATACCCGGATGAGAAAATTTCCTTCTCCCTTTCGAATTAAAGTTAGACGCGAGGTATCGTTATTCCCAGAAATCTAATTACTTTGGCGCCGAAGTATATAAATACAGTGGATATTAGAAAAGTTGCAAAATTTTACACGAAACTTCCCCTTGGTTACAATCCTCCAGTTTCCTTCCTTCGTTTCATTATCGTTTCAAAGAAACATGATTAACTTGCCGCATTGTTGCGTTCATTAAGGAAAAAAAAAAAAAAAAAAAAAAATCAACGAGACGAAAACGGAACAAGAGAAAATTTTAAACAGCTTTCTAATCAAAAATTCTGTATTATGCTGTTTTATTTCTTGGATATCCATCCGCTATATAATGCGAATTTTCTTCCCATTTTTCTTCCATTTGTACGGTTAACAGGATAACTTCTCTCATCGCATCATCGTGTACGTGATATTTTCTAGATGAGATTGCATCAGGTAATGAGAAATAAATCCTCTTATCATCTAATTTACCTAACTTCGTTTCAAATGTTGCCGAATAAATATAAGGAAACGAAATTGCAAATTGATCGAGATTCGAAAATTGTACGATCTACGAAGGATGAAAAGTAAGACGATGATTGGACGATCTTTAAATCTTCGTTAAGAGGATCCGAGATTTAGTGCTGTTCGAGGGAATGTTATTAAATTGGCCGAATTCCTCGAGATATTTCTGATTTATCGTTGCGCTTTTGCATCCCTCGTTTTGTACCGTTCGTGGTTGCAAGGCTACAGAGGTAGAGATTAATTTACGGAAATTCCAAACCCTTATCCTGAATCCATAGGATTCGCGAAGATTACGTGGATGCGATCGTAATGTAATAAAATTGTACAAAAATTGTAAGAAGACACAATCTAATTAAATCGTCCATTGTAATTTTGCATAGAAACTTATGATGTGGATATTCACGAAGATGAAATTATAAGAAAGAAATGCAATTAAGTAAAATGGAAAAGATAAAATAATTACTTTATCATGACGTATGAAAATAAAACTTTCCACGAGTTTTCTTTCTATCAGGAAATGTCGAGTATTTTCCAACAAAATTCACTTTGGATTATAATTCTCGATTCTTCACGAACAAATAAAAATATATTATTCAAGGATCGATTGTTTCTATGATTAAATTTATAGATGATTAATAATAATATTATTATATCGTCAACATCGATTAATTATATACGGTTTTTAAAAAAATTGAAGTATGATTGAAGACATCATAAAATCGTGTTGTTAAAATTTTTTTTAGAATTTTAATCTACATCTGTGTAATCTTGCAAGAATTTGAATAATAGAAGAGATTGAAATTTCGTTAAATCGAAATAGATTCGATTATACGTAAAATTTTCACTGGAAGAATTTTAAATAGAAGAGTCTTTTTAAATCAACGATACCTTCTAATGGATCGTAACATGAGATTAAAAAATTGAAATTCACGAAGGAGGATACGTATCTTTTAAATAAATCATGATGATAATATCGAATGAACAATACTTTAATAATAACATGAAAAATATGATCTCTAATAATATCCAAGCACCAAGCAATTGCATCCAACGATCAATTAAACTAATAATCCACGAGAAATCAAGATAATTCAATATTGAAAGTGACTCGAAGGGATGATCGGCGCCGATGTTTTTCCCAGAAGGGCGGCGAAAGGTGTTCCATCCACTTTGGGCCAATAACTCCCAATTCCCCGAGGAAACAATCCGGCCACGCTGCTTTATCCCGAAGAAAAGCCTTTTGCTCTACATTTAAGCGACGAATGATAAAAAACGGCTCAGTTAAGAGGATGGCTCTCTCGGGGATAAGGAAAGAAGAAACCGCTGAAAAAGAAAATCCTTCGATCCTCTCTCTCTCTCTCTCTCTCTCTCTCTCTCTCTCTGAGGGGTGTATTTATCACCCCTTGTAGACGAAACAAGTTTACGCCTCGACGCGAAACAGGTCGAAGGATAAACGTCGAGTCGACGAAGGAGTCGAGTTTATTCGTCGATAAATGGATTAGTCGAGCGACAAACGAAACAAAACTACGTGAAAGAGTTGGCGACGCTTGAACGAGTTAAAGGGGGTCGAGAGAATGAAGAAGGAGGGATGGCGAGGGATGGAGACTGGAGCGAGTTCGCAGTGTTCTTTTTTTCTTTCCGCGCCGGTTACTCGATTTCCACGATTTTTCTTTATAACGCGACTTTTCTTTCGAATAACGCATTTCTACGCTTTTTTTTTTTTCTTCTTCTTTTTAATATATCGCGAATATATTTTGAAAGAAGGATATTCTATTTCGGAGACGAGTAAAAAGTTTAGGGGAAAGATGAAAATTGTAATAGTGGGAGAATAAATTATATAGCCCCGAGTAGAAGGCTCTCCCTCGACGATATCCGTCCAAGGACGAACAAATTGAAGGTTTGAAAAGAAAATTGCAAAAGGAAAAATTGGAAAGGAGTTGTGCGATCCCTCCGGCAATAACCTCTAGGATGACCTCGATTTTTAATAGAGGTCATCCTCTCCTTAAGCCTGAGATAAAAGCGTGGGTAAAAAATAGAAGTTTCTTTCACGAGGAACCAGGAGGATAGGCCAGAATAGAAGGACATCTGCAAGTCTCTTTGCCCGTCCATGATTCACCCTCCGGTCGTATAAACTTGCTCGAAGGGTAGTCGGACTCGTAGAAAGCGAATTCTGTGGAAATCCGTGTGTGTGCGCGCCTGACTCGAAGCCACGACACTGTTTGCGATACTGGGCCTCTGGTTTGCTCAAATTAACGTAGGAAGGGATGAATGGGGTGCTGGTCGACTGGAAAAAGCGGTGAAAGCGGCGATATTCCGATTACTTACCCCCTCTTTTGTCACTGTCGTGTGGTTGCGGATTTTTCAGATAACCACATCCCTGAAGGAACACCCTTGGAATGGCAATTGATAAACTTCCCCGTTGCACTGGACACGGCTATTTTTCAACGGACAAAGGGACGGGGATACCTCTACAACTACCGATTAATGCTCGTGTCCCGCCTAATTAATTATGCGAACAGATAAAACGGGAACGAATGGCGGCTGTCCCGGATTCTCGAGATCCTATAAATAACAGGGAAGGAGGGGTAACGTAAAAGGGGTGGGTTTGGTTTGGAAACGGCGCGAGGGATGAAATAGAGTTCATCTTTAGGAATTGTAACCATTCAAAAGGTTCTAATCTTTTGTGAATTATTTTCTGATATACCTTACTGGAATAAAAATAGGCAACTTGGGAGAGTTGAAAATATTGCTTCGTTTCCTTGCTACAAAGTTGGATGTATAGATTATACCTCCGTGTATTTTATGGATATTTTTATGGATATTTTTAATCTTGAATAATTCTTGTAGAATTTTTGGAATAATCATCAATTTTCGACAACAAATCCTCTCGTAAAATCTCACTATCTTGATAAACATAATTTTGTTCTTACATAATTTTTTATTTGGATCTATCCAATTAAGAAATGAATCGAATTAAAATGCATCAACATAGTTTTCTTCTTCGAGTTAACACAAATTCCCTTTAAATATTTCTCTGTTATTCTCCATCGAAAAAATTGAAAATTATTTTCAAAAGACAGTTTCTCAAAGAAGTCAGCTCGCGAGAGATTTCTCTGCCGCGAGAATGTTGACAATAGAGAAATAAAATTTCAGATGTCTCTCAAATTCAGCTGGAAATTCTGTTTTCATTCGACGGAAAGTCTCGACCGAGTTCGCCTTTGTTCGATTCTCGAACAGGTGAATCGACTTTGACGCTTAACACGCCAACCTTATTTCTCCTTGCTTCCCTGGCTGGAATTAATTTCGCTTCACGGAAAGAAGGATAGAACAAGGCACGCGCACGGCTAGATTGTTAAACGAGTCTTCTCTAGCTGGAAGCGAAATACGCGTGCATTTATATACACGTGAATCCTTGACACAGGCTCTACACGCGGCCTGGCTCGGTTTGAAAGCATCGATCAGCAATTAACAAACGAGTTTGCCTCCCCTCTCGACCATCGAGAGAACTCGAAGAATCCATTAGGTGTACGATGGCCCCTCGGTATGCAAATTGACCGTGTCGAGTAATCGCATCGAAGCATCTTCCACTCTGCGGCCGTGTAAAAAATTGAAAAATTGAATAAATAAATGGGGATAAAAAATCATGCGAGGATTTATTTAAGATCTTATTGGGATCTGGTAGGAAGAAATGATACATTTTCAGAGAATCGTTGTTGTTTGGATTAGTATTTGAGGTGGATTGATATTGGAGATGAGAGAAAGATCGTGCTTTAGATATGATGTAGAGGAGAGCACTTGTCCTTGGTTGGAAAGGAATAGCGGGGTAAGCAGGTTTCTAAGTATATTAGCGCGAAAAGAGTGAATTTTGAACGGGAAATTTTCCGCAACGATCGCGAAAATCATATTTAACCAAGCACTTGGGATCGTCGTCTCTGATCTGTTTATCGTCGATTGGTTTCAGGTGCTATATTCACTCATGACCAAAAGGATAGCAGCACGGAGTTGGCCTTCAAGTATGCCGTGTACAAGATCAACAAGGAGAGGCTCATACTGCCGAAAACCACGCTGGAATACGACATACAATACGTGCCAAAAGATGACTCGTTTCACGCGTCGAAGAAGGGTGAGTGATGATTCTAAGATCTCACTTCCATTTGCATTAAGAGTTGGAGAAAATTTGATATAAATCAAAACGTATATATCTATTGCAAAAGTAGAATATTTCCATTTAACAATTATGGAATAACGATTTATATTTATACGAAGAAATGTATTTATTCGTAAAATATATTTATATCAATTTTCTCCAATATAATTTTCCTTAGTTTTATATTTTTTAAAGTTCATTCAAATTTAATATCGACTCGTTCATTGCTGTTTATCATATTAACATGCGACAAAATTTAAAATGCTAAAGGGAGGTGAGGAAGAGACGATATTAAAATCAGTCTGAAAATACTTTCTTATCAGACGAGGTAATAAAGAATGGATCACGATAGCATTATACTATAACCTGATCAGAGATAATGGGTTTACTCATGGCATTATTAGAGCCTCCCCTTCATCGACTCTCAAATACACGTTATCAGTTAGCCTAGTCTGGTTTAGCTTATAATATCATTTACGTGAAAATTATATCTTCTCGACAATTTCTTTCTTTTTTTAAACCGTTGCTCCGTGCAATTTCTTCAGAATTCAAGATGGCACAAATATAATACCGTTAAAAAATCAATAAATTTCTATTCGAAGACAGTTCGATATAACCCTTTCTCAAGACCGTTCGTCTTCGAAATAAGCTTATCGAGGCGTTATATCGCGTTATATCGAAAATTGAAAAAACGTACAATCCTATTTCACGTATTTATAGCTGATCGACACGCGTCTTGCTTTACGACGTCGTAAGTCCGTTTCGCTTCTTCCCGAATCGAGCAGATGTTGCTCGTGATTTTTATTTTATTCTTCCAACGTAACTGGCAACGTATCAATAGAGAAAGGCGATAAAACTTCGTGATTCGCGTGAATGGGCTTTCAGAAAGATCCACGGCGAAATTCATTATTTACCTGGTAATCCGTCAGCTGTGCCGTTTTCATCGCTGTCCCTCGCGTAAACCCAGTCCCCGTGGAAAATCAGATCAATGGATTTACTCTTTTTCTTTCTACCGGATCGTCCATCGTTCCGTAAACGGATGATCGGGTTCTCGGGATCGATGCGCCCTGTCCATTTTCGATTCGATTTCCCTTCGACAATAATAGATTTTTTTTCGAATTTCCTTTCCTGCATTGTTGTGCTTTTCTTTTACGTTGCAATTTTCTTCTACGTTTTTTTTCTTTTTTGAAAATTGAAATTTAAACATATCCAGAGAATAATCCAAATAAATTTCAATTACGGCTCTTTTTTATTTTTTTTTACGCAATGTATATTTTCTTTTTTAAATTCTCTGAGTGAGACTTTAATATTCATTATGGTATAAAGAAAGGATAGAAAAATTTCATTGCTTTGAATATCCTTTGAAAAGAAAATAATTCGAATAATGATCGATAATAAGGATCATTAATAAGGGAAATTAATTAGATCGGAGAGATTCTGTATATAAAATGAATGTGCATATTTATGATATGTTATTTGTTCTTACAAGATTAAAAATCCTTGACAATGTCGTTCGAACCTGTTTAGTCAGCCAAACTTTTGATTTACGATTATCTCTACAAGGTTGTTGGCTCAGTGGCTACAAGCCAGCAGATACTTGTTCGATTTTAGCCATTTCTTTATAGCCGTGACTTTTCTCTCGACGATGACTCTTCTGTAACCCTTACTCCCCGATAATACAGATTCTTATCACTCTTCAGATAAAGGAAAAAGAAAAATTCAACGTTCCGTTATTTCCGTCACCGATCAAGATAAAGATATCCTCTTCAAATCTCATCAATTTCCAACTTGAAAATATTGAACAAACTTTCTCAATCCTAGATATCTCATCGATTTTAGATTTTCATCGTAAATAAATTATTCGTCAATTTGAAAAAATCCAAGACACTATTGTGTCTATCTATTGTATCATCCAAAATCACCTCGATAGATTTTTTAGTACATTCAACGTCTCTCAATCCTCAAACCTTCAAACCTTTCCCTTTAACCCCAAATCATCTCGATATCTCACATTCGAACATTATCTTATCGTTCTTCACTTCGGAAAAAAACTCAAGGAAACGCGATTTCACCAGATTGTCCTCGATAAAAAAATAAGAGACACATTTCCTCAACCCCTCCCCTCCTATCAACTCCTATCAACGCTCGCAAACGAGGTTAAACCCGACTCGTGCGAGAAATCTCTCGAAACGAAACGGTGTCACATTCGAAGTTATTGTCCGGAGATATTCGCCAACACTTTGGTTCCCCCATTCACGTTCATCTTCCTTCCGTTTCCTTCCGTTTACAAGGCCTATCGTCCGCTCTTTAAACGGAGGCAAGAGAAGAGGAGGCTGTCGGCGAAGATACGTGTTTTCCCATAGAGGCGGTTGCAAGGGTCTCGAGAACAAGCGAACAACATTGTTGCCACGGTTGTATGCATGCAAATGCGCATCCCGTCCGCATGGCCAGAGATGAAGCTTGTGCAGAACCGTTTGTTTCGCATAAACGTTATCTGCCCTCGGCCGTCGGGCATTTTTACATTTTTACGGTTATACGCATACGTGCAGGATGAAACGACGGTGGCCGGTTATCGGCCCAAGAGTCGATAACTGAAACTTGTGGATTTCGATGCTGGCTCGGTTTATTAGAAAATCCGTGTTTCTGTGCAACGGGATTTTAAGATGAGTTTTATTATTCTCGGCTTGGATTTCTCGTTCAACGATTATTTTACGTGAGAAAGTATTGCATTGTGATCAAGGCAAGAATCGAAAGACTAATTTCTCTTATTAAAAAGAAAGTGGAAAGAAATTGTGAAACACGAAGATGAGTATATAAAGATATTAATCTTGCAAATCTTCCATATTTATTCAAGAAACAAGCGAAGAGAAATAATAGTGAGCTGTCGCTGTAAAGTCTTGATCTTCTGACTTTAAAATTGACAGATTCAAAAATTTTTTCCTCAATTTCTCTCGAACGAACATCGAGATTCCTATAATTTTCCAAATTATAGGATTTCCAAACAACTTTCCACCTTCGATTCTACGACAATTATCATCACCGTTTTATTCTCAAAATTAATCTCAAAATATAGTTGAAAGTTTCTTCCAGCAATATTCGTCGTGAATTTGAAACTGGGACCTTCTCGAACTATTATTCCGCACTTCTAAGATCTCGATTGTAGAATTTTCTAATTTCTACGGATTGTAAGGTATGTGCAGCCTAATGAGGAACACGTTGAATGATAGATCGGGCAAAAGAAGATGGAACTCGGTACAACGTCACGTCTTGTCACGTGTTCAAGAGCACCTCTTGAAGTCTCTGTTCTCGATGCCTCGAACGAATAAAGACCCTTCACGATTTCTTCTCCATCTTCGATCTTCCGCACGGAGTCTGTGAACACATATATATATATTCTCGTATTCTCTCAAACGGAACTCGATTGTGAGCCATTTTAGCTACCTCGTGTGAACAATCGATTTTAAATTATTGTTCGTGTAAACGAATTTTGTTGCGACATGATATTCTCTGTGAGGAATTAATGAATGTGTGGCATTGGAAGAATGATTGAAATTTTGCGAATATTATTGATTCTATGAATTTCTGTTGCAGTCGCGTAATACGTGATTATTTGAACGCATAAGTGTATTTGGTAAAACGAAAAAGTTCGATAATATTTCATAACTAAGAAATAAGAAAATTATATAGTCGAAAAGTAGAAGAGTCGAGGTTTAATTTGTCTCTTGCTCCATCAGTTTTCGACCGATTCTAACAAAGTTATGGAACTTGAAAAGTTTGACGATTTTTCAAACTTTTACTAAACTCCTAATTCGATGATCAGATACTCTATATATAAGAAGGAATGAAGATTGAGTGAATGTTGTGCGCAGAATTGTCAGAAAAATTCCCGTGTCTGGAAAAAGTAGGAGAAAATAGTACTGTTAGTGAACTAGTTATTGGATCCCATCTGTTATTTGTTCCTCGATATCCATTTGCTAACAGTATATAACTTATAACATCGCTAGTTTAGTAACACCACTACTTTTTCCCTTTCTTTTCATAAAGACAATTTTTCTCTAACAACTCTAATTACGTATTTTCGATTCACGAAATTATAGTGATTCAATTCTTTTTTTATTAATTTTTCCATTTTGGACGTTTCTGTGTTCCATCCACAGAGATCGCCAGAATTATCGAGGTTCTTCATTCTTCTATTTTCATTTGAAAATTATTTAAAATTATATTCTTCTTTGTTCTTTCATTGGTATCATATAAGTCAAATAAATAATGCGCTCAATTTCTACAGAGATAATTTCCTGACGATTCTAGCGATACAAATTTTATAATTTTTTTTATTCGCTCTTCCATTTACATTTTGAGAAGGAGAAAGAATATTCTTCAAAAGAATTATCGAAAGATCAAAAGAATTAAATTCTACAATCGACGAATTTTTGTATTTACCCTTTCATCGAATGGGTAAGTAAAGTTTTTATTTTCACCCCTTCCCCCCTCCCCCTCCCCTTCTCTTATCGAAGATTTTCCACTGCTTGTCCGTAGGCAAGGGTATTTCGAAAATCCAGCAGCCGCGGCACAGCGAAATCTGCGAATAATGGTGCCTACTAGCTAGTCTCAAAGGTTTTGAGGCGGAGATTAAACCGAGCATATCCGCCGATCGTATTTCAGACCCAGGTCAACGACGTGCAGCCGCTGCTCTTTTCGCGATTTAAGCTTCGTTCTTGGGCAGCATCTGCGCCCAGAATTTCTGCTACCGCCGCCTCTATATTCCGCTTCGCAATTCTTTATACACGGTGTATAAAGTCAATCGAAAGTCAGCATTTAGATTTCGTGCCGTTTAATCCGTTTTCCAATAATTTATCAAATGTTTCATACGCGATGGTAATATTAATATAAACGTTCGAAAGGCAAAGGTACGAAGAATATAAGTGTTTGAAGATTATTAAAAAAGGAAAAAGTAGGATCGAAACAATAATAAGTCG